TCCTAAGGCCCACTTGATTTCACTCTCTAGAATGTCTGGCTAAAGGTCAGTGACCACACCAGTATGGACATCGGGGACACTAAGATCTTTCTTGTATAGTTCTTCTGTGTATTCTTGCCACCTCTTCTTAATCTCTTCTGCTTCTGCCCAATATTTCTTTCATGGGATAATGAATATATCCACAGTATTGGATCCAGAGGAAAAGGGCACTTCTGGGAGAAGGGTTTTTCTTGATTTTGTGTAAGATCCTCATGAATAAAAACAAAAATACAGCAAGATGCCTTTTTCAGACTAAGTCATTGTACAAAATGCTGCTGACCATTTCAAGATGTAGCTAGGTCTTGCTAGGAATATGAAAACATCACAGCTGGTTTATTGATCATTTAACTCACCATAAATAATTGCATAACCCTCCTCCCCAATGATCTGGGATTATTGTCCTATCTAAATCATTACTGTTATCATGATCACGACTAGAAAATAATTCATGAAGTATTTGACTAACCAAAGTGTTAAATAGTAGTCTATCTATCTCAGTAGTTATATACAGTATATTATATACAGTAAATATATCATACATTTTGATAAAGAGAACAGAGTTTCAAAGACACTTGCCTGTATAGTTTTTGTTGCATTTAATTACAAAATTCAAGTCTTCTAGTGCTGGAAGAATTTTGTTTTGGTAAAGGAATATTAAGTGTCTGTGCCAATAAGCATTAGTCAGCATTGGTTCCATGCTTATTGCCTGTAAAAATAATGACATAATTAATCAGAATGACTGTTTTATACAGTTCAATGCTGAAGAAGAAAATATTTTAAAAATTTTATCTGATGAGAACAAACATTTCAAATATTATTTAGTTTCACATGGGGGGAAAATCAGTTTTGGTTTATCATATAGCATCTTTGCATACATCTTCAAGAACTTTTTTCATGCAAATTACCACACATTTATTCCATGATAAAAATACCCTGACACAGGCTTTAATGAAAACGTATCTACCGGTTTGTAGGCAACTATGATGGAGTGATTAACAGACCCTGGGAAAGCAGAGCAGGAAACAGGATTGTTGCAAAAGTAATATACCAACCCAGGGAAGTGGGGAAGCACAAGGAAGAGATTCCAAGTAACTCCATCTTAATTATGCTAGGTTTAAGCTAGCTGAGCAGGTGAATTGGTTTGAGAGGTTTTCAAGATTAATGTTAAATTATGCAAGGCTGGCCAAATCCTGAAACAGGAACCATTTGGATTTCTGGAAAAATCTTTATTGCTAGCAGGGTAACGTAACAGAACCTTGAAAGCCTATCAAAGTAATTCTTCCACTCAATTTATACTTAGTGCAATTAAGATGGAGTTGCATCTGTTTTGCAATGGACTTGTTTCCTCCTCTGCCTCTGTCCTTTCCCAGGGTCTGTGAGATATTCCATCACAGCAGCCTTCAGTACTGTATCTTCCCTTCAATGTTTTTGGCTGGATTTTTTTATCAGATCTCCATGTTGCCCAGCTTCATCTGATGTTAGCATCTGTGTCCTACTGAGATCTGGTAGAAGCTGAACAGACAAATTCACTCCCAGCAGAATTTGTGACAGATTTTGTCTTACATCACAACTCCAAAGAGTCTGACTCTACATCTGATAGAGCAAGGAATCACTGGGTGAGAAGCATGAGCATCAATGGGTGAGAAAGAGATGTATAATCCAAAAAGGAGAAGACCAAAGCAACAACGATCAGGGAAGCAGAAGTAGCTGCATAATCAAAAGCAGGCAAGGGCAGGCAACAATAATACATGGTTATTTATGCTTAATATCTATTTCAGATTTTTATTATGTGCATAATTAAATTGGAAGCAGTAGAAAACATTATAGAAGTAAAACCAATGGCATTGACAGTCAATTTCCAGAGAGTTTTCCAAGTAAGTGAACAGGGAAGGCTCATGGAAGATTGGCAGCAGAGTTCTGCGGAGAAGCATCCAATAAAACAGAAGCTACTTGACTAGCCCAAAAGTCTGAGAACTAGAAGAAACAAATCTATGTGTGGCCCCTTAAAAAAACTCAAGGGAAGATGAATGTACTTTGCTTATAGGCAATTCATATTCCTTCCTGAAAACAAACTGGCATAGATGTGTAGCAAGTGAAAGTTTAAAGAAGGGCTTGAAGAAACATTATAAGGATTGAAGCAGCAGTAATGGTAACTTAGAGCAGGGTTCCTCAACTTTAGCAACTTTAAGATGGGTGGGCTTCAACTCCCAAAATTCCCCAGCCAGCCATGCTGGGGAATTCTGGGAGTTGAAGTCCACCCATCTTAAAGTTGCTGAGGTTGAGGAACCCTGAGTACTCTCTTGGGAGTGGCTATTTTAGGCAGATATTCATTGCAAAATGAGGAAAGTCATCTCTCAACTCTGACACATTTTAATGTATTTTCTTTTATATGTGTTAAAACTGATTTTAAGAGATAACTGAGGGAAAGGAATTGGTATTTGTTTGGAGCAATGAAGATGGAACAGCCAAAATGCCACAAGAGCTGATCCCTGAAAACCTGAAAGTCATTAAAAAGATTATCACTATGTTATTGTTGCTACTACTATATGTGAGGTCATAGTCACAGAATGAAGAAAGATTCTGGAACAAATGGTTCCAAAGAGAGCGAACTGGCGATAGTCATGGTAAATAATCACACACTGTATCTGCCACTGATCTATAATCACATAAATACTATCAGATAGTTTACTCAAATATAAGACACATTCCTTTAGAAAACATAATTTGTATTTCCTAACATGTGGCATGATGGCACTTTAGTAATGAACTTCAAGGCCTACTGAAATATGTATTATTAGCAGCCGTCTTATAACACAATCTTAATTAAAGTGGGTATGAGTCTTCATCAACAGAGGGTAGGCTACCCATCTCAGCTTCATTTGGGTTATTATCTCAAAAGTTGTCTCAAAGTCCATACTTAGAATAAAAATATTGCAAGTGTGGTATACAAATTCTGTACTTGCCAGCCTGTTAAGCAATTATGCTCCATCATACTGTATATGGCAGCAACAATAACACATTCATTAATAATTATCCTTTGCTTTACTTACAGGGATCAATTCTTTAGCATACTATGTGTTTTTGGAGGAACTGTTTTTATCCTGTTCATTATCACTGTTAAAACAGTTTCTACTCTGTTGGCTATAGTCATCTTCAATTCATTTATGAAAATGTATTAAAATATGACTCAAACTAATATATCTACAATCCTCATTCTGAAATATATATCCAACATTTCTTTTATACAGTAACAATTTGCATAAATAAATCCCATATAACATGTTTAAAATGGGGATGTTTATCTATCAAATCATGCACGTATGCATCATTAGTCCTAATGAAAAGCTGCACCACACTGCATGAAACATTAACCTAGCATCTTATCTCTAAAACTACATTCTGACCAGGAAGTGTGATTAACCAAGTGAAATTTGTTATTGTTAACTTCATATTCAATTAATTAATAGAAAGAACCATACTGTATATGCAAGTCATGCATCATATGTAAGGCCTTTAAAAAAATTTTTAAAAAACCCTTTCTGATCACCTAATCAATAGCATCATCAAGCAACTTGTCTCCTCAGCATGATAAAGCCTTGACTCTAGGAAATTGCCATTTGCATTCCTGTATTTTCTTTGTAAAGTCTTTACTCAAAAGACTGCCATCACATCAGAATCTGTTGACCCTAACTCCCCACAGTAGACCACCCTTGAGACCTGGTATGACAGGATCACATCCAGTCAATCAGGATGAAGAAAAGCCTTTCCTCTGCTCTAAGAGAGATAATTTCTATGCTCTGGTTCCTCATTTCTCTTTGTTCAATAACTATTATGACGTGTCCTCAAGATCACTTTGAGAAAGTTGTCCTGTTGTGATGGCTTTACACCTTATTGCCTGGCATTTAGGTTCTCATCTCCTCTATGCTTGTAATTCTATTTTATTTACTTATTTACCACCACCACCCTTTCTCACCTCCTTCTCTTTAGTTTGAACTCTTTAATTCTTGATCCAAGTTGAGTGCTGCTGATCTAATATATTTGTATTCAGTACCACCACCAGATATTAATCTGTTGAGGGCATTTGTTATTTTTATTTTGTCTGTATATTATGCCTGGATCCCATCTTGTTTTTGGTTTGTGTTTTTATGTTATTATCTGTGAACTACCCAAAGAAAGTTGATGTTGGGCAGTCTCTAAATGGAATTAATTAATAAATAATAAATCATTTTATCATTTGTAATAAAATAATTAATGACTGTATAGTTCTATGAAAAATTATTTACCCCTTTTGAAGTGTCTGAATTTTTTGTATCTTTGCCACTGAATAAGAGTTTCATGTGATACATAAAGAGAGTTTATTAAACCAAACAAAGTATGATGTGGCAATGTGAAGAAGTAATCATCCCTTTAGATTCAGTAAGTGGTTGAATCACCTGTAGCTGGAGTAACTGCAACCAAATTCCTATCTGTATTTAGCAATCAGCCTCACACATTGCTTTGTAGGAATTCTGGCCCATCCGCCCATGGCAAACTGCTTCAACTCAGTAACATATGAAGATTTTCTAACATGAACTGCTCATTTGCGATCCTATCACCGTTTCTATGGCATTTAAATCTGGGCTTCGAAAAGGCCATTCCAAAACAGTTAATTTGTTATTTTTTGTCCGTTGCCTTGTAGGCTTGCTCGTATGTTTGGGATCATTATCTTGCTTGAATGCCCATTTGCAATTCAATTACAGCTATCAAACAGCTGACTTATATTCTCCTGGAGAATTCACTGATACACAGCAGAATTCATACTTCCTTCATGATGGCAACTTGTCCAAGTCCTGAGGTAACAAAGGTATCCTCAAACCATGACATTACTTTAAAGCTTTTAAAGCTCTTCATGTCTTGGGACTGGGTTACCTGCGGGACTGTCTTCTCCATTGTTTCTACCCATCCAATTTGGTCTGGCAGGTTGGGGATGCTACAGGTCCCATCAGCCAAGGAATGCCAGCTGGCAGGGACTAGGAGGCATGCCTTCTCTGCTGTAGCTTCTGCCTTCTGGAACATTCTCCCTTCAGAGATTAGGATGGCCCTGACCCTGTTGGCCTTTCATAAGGCCTTGAAGACCTGGTTATATGCCTGGGGCCCGAGTGTGTTAAGGGCCCCATTTCCTGGTTATTTTGATATCTATGGTTATAATTTTTCTCGGTTGCTATATATATTTATTTTTGTATGAAGTTTGTACTTGGTTTTAACTGATGTTATGATTGTTCGCCACCCAGAGTCACTTGTCTGAGATGGGTGGCCATAGAAATCAAATAAATAAATTAATTACTGCCTCCATGCTCAAGAATTGGTATGAAGTTCTTACTGTGGAACATAGGGTTTAGTTTCTGCCAGATGTAGTAATGTTTTAAAAAATCAGTTTTGACTCATCTATTCATATAACATTCCTCCAAAAGTCTAAATGCTTTTGGACCTTGTTGCTTTTTGGCAAACTTGAGATAAGCATCATTGTTGTGGGCAATGCTTTATTTCTTGTTATGCTCCCATGTGCTTTTCTGATGTGGAATCATGAAAATTGATTTTAGCCAAGGTGAGAAAGGCCTGCAGTTTATTTAGATGTTGGGGAGTGGAGGCGACTTCTTGGATGATTTTATGCTATACTCTTGGAGTGATTTTGACAGGATACCCACTCTTGGAAAGAGCTATCATCTCAAATTATTTAAGACTATCTCTCTGACTATGGATTGATAGAGCCACAAAGCTTTAAAAATGATTTTGTAGCCTTTTCTAGACTGTTAGGCATCAGTGTTTTTTTTTTTAATGAAGGTTTCCAGAAAATTGAGTGAGGCATGACATCCCTCCAGTTTCTTTGTGATGAGTGGCCACTGTGATGAGAAAATCCAGAGTTATGAGACTGTCCAAATCAGCCCTGTTTAATGAAGTATTCACATAATTGGCTCTCACTACCTTTTAATTTTAAACTAATTGACCATTTGATTGCTGTTTCACACTGGCATATCATGATGCTGTGAAATAAATGCAACAAATGCCAAAGTTTGGTGTTACTTTTTCCCTCAGACGCCCATTTTTTTAATCTCTGTGTGTGAGGCAATATGCTCTGATAACGTTCAGTGACAAAGATCTGCAAAAATTCAGAAAATCTTAAAGGGGAATACTTTTTCAGAGCTCTAACTTTGTGTTCTCTTGTTTATGTCCCTTCTTGTCTTCCCCATAGCATACCATGATTCTAATTTCAAGATCTGAACATAATCAGTTGATTGTATAGGTACAAGTGTACGCATATATGCACATAAAAGCAAATACATGTGGAAACAGTATGCCATTATCTGCTAAACAACTAAGATTACAAAAATAGATACTGTTAAAACTGGAAAGTTTTCTTCTGAAAAGTGAGTACCAGAAGTACCCAAGCCCAGGCTTATTAAAAAGAGAAGTGGAAGAAAACCTTTTTTAAAAGGCACAAGGCCTTGGAAATCCATAGCTATACAATGAGTTAAGTAAAATGCATGAGAAGTAAGCAAAATAGGTTAATATTTGTTTTAAACAAACTTTTTCTAAGTCATCCATAGCTGCCTGCATTTTTCCAATCTTTCTGTATATTGCTCCACGCCGACAATAGTTAAATGCTGTAGCACATCCTTTGTTTATCTCTTGGGTTGTTCTCTCAATCTCATGCTCACACTGTGCAAGTTGTTCTTTTTTGCCATCAAAGAGAAAAGGATTCACGTAGTTCGGTAATTCATTTTCTTTTGCAGCATCCTCCATTTTCTCTTCTGAAAGCTTTCTATGTGACATCTGTTTATCTTCATCAGATTTCTTAATGGGAACAAACAGCTCCTCGAACCATTGATTCCACAGTAGTGTGGCCCAAACATAATCAGGATCTTCAAGCGCTTTGCCCCTTTTTTTTGAAAATGTTTCAAAGTCTAACACACAAGGGAGGCTGGGGCTTCTATAGTGCTGAACTGCTCGAGATACTTTAATAGAGAACTTATGATGTATATTAAGCTTCCCGAGAGACACAGAGCTAAGGAAAAAGAAAAAGAAGAACCAAAATTATGATCAGCATGTAACTGAGGTAATGACAGAAGATTACTGAAATAAATTTGAAATCTTATAAACTGCAACATTTAATAACTTGTCATTTATGTATTTATAACATTTTAAACCACCTCAGTCTTAAAACTGATTTAATATGCCACAGGACTACCCTGATTAGGTACACAATATTAAAGTTATAATAAGAAAATTTCTAAGGGAAATATCTAGAGACAAATAAAATTGTCCATTACTACAGGAGAATATAACTTTGTACTCATGTAGAATGGTATACACCCCACAAATACCTAGGTAACTAATTTCTGATGGAGATAAGCAGTTAGGAGCCAACTGGCTAGATAAAGCAGGGATGGGGGGTGGGGATGATATCCTGCAGGCAAAGGAACAAAACAATGTGCATATTTAGAGAAAACTCTCAGGGGTGTGGAGAGGTCAAATAGTCACACACAAAATACTGTATTGCATGGATCCATCGATTATAAAATGAAGAAAAAGTATGAAGGTATGGTATAGATACATGAAGTTATACATTCTGCAAATCTACAGAAGTGAGCTACATTGTCTTCTGCAAGAGGGGAAAAACGGAAATGAATTCTGAAAAGTTCTGAAATGAGAGTGGTTCAAAAAATTGTTCAGACAACAAAGGGCCAATATGTCTGGCTCCATCATCCTTCTTAGGGATGGTAAAGTACCTAGAAAAGAAGTTGGCAATTTTCTGGAGATATGCTTTCAATCACCTTTTTTTCTACAAGGAGAGAAACCTATTAATATAACTCTGGAGGTTTCTAAAACCAACAAGGTGGCTTGATATGGCTTTAGCTAAGAATTTTATGTATAGGAACACTGAACAATTATTTATACAACCTAAAGTCATTAAGTTACGGAAGCTCATTTACTGTGGGAGCAAGCCTTGAATGGCTGATATGGGGGAATCTCAAGATCAAAGCAGCTACTTGTGAAGTTAATGCCTACAGCTGCATTATGCTGAGTGTGTTGGTGATGGCAGTGTCTGGCTAACAACCCCAGATATGCCTTTGGTATGCCTTCTTCGTGAAATTCTGAGAGCCTTTGGGCAATACGTGAGTGGAAACATGGGCAGGAGGAGGAGGAGATAAAGTAGAGCTGCTCCAGTTCACATTTGTGCACTGTGTATGACACTTTAGAAACATTTTATTCCTGTTGCTGAATAACCCATTCTCATGCAAGAGAAAGTCCTCAATCCTAGCCTTAGTCCTAGTATCAGTCTAATGCAGTATAGTCAGACACGGAAATCCAGAGCAATGGAAAAAAAGTGACACTGTTGGCTGATGTTAGTTGTATTGAGAACTGTAATTAATACCTGTGTAGCAAATCATGCTGCTTCTGTTTGAAAAACAAACAACTGCTTGCCTCTTGTCCTCTACCAAATGAGATAATAACGGTGATATCTTCTCCTCCAAAAAATTTGGCTGCTTCACTGTACTTGTTTGTTTTTTCTTAGGATTGGAAAATCAACTACTATCTCAAAAACTCTAACGGTATATGGGAAGAATCTTGGGAGGCACAACCAGATAAAAGGCAGCTGAGCCTGCAGCAGGAATGTTGGTGGGGCAAGAGGCTCAGAAGAGACCCTCCCTAGTTTCTTGGGCTGTAAAGGAGATGGGGGAAGATATGTACTTTCAGACTTGCAAGATTCTGTTAATGTAGCTTTACAGTACAGTAGAATTAGCTCATCTGGTCATGTTTCCTGTCTGGTCTACCGCGTCTGACAAAAACAACACAAACTGCTTGAAGCTCCTATAACTCTTAATATTACCACTGATACAAAATGGGAAAGTTCCTGGCCCAAATGATTTTCCTGTAGAATGGTATGTTCAAAGACCTCCTGGTTCCCTTTTTATTTGATCTTTATAAGACAGCATTTAAAATGGGAAAACTACCAGATTCATTTTATGAAGCTTATATAACTCTGATTTTAAAACCCAGGAAATATGAGTCACTTTGTGTGAGATGGGCGGCGATATAAATATGATAGATAAATAAATAAATAAATAAATAAATAAATCCCAGTAATGTGCCAGTTATAGACCTGTATCATTAATTAATGTAGATACTAAAATCTTAACTGCTATTCTAGCTAAAATGTCACAATCACTTTTGTCAGATATTATTCACCCATCTCAATCTGGCTTTCTACAATTCAGACAAGCTTCAGACAATATATGCTTACTTATTGATTTGTTAACAAATACAGAAAAGAATTTAAACTTCACCAAATTAATTTCATTAGATGCTGAAAAGCCTCTGGAGCAGCAGGTTCTCAGGAAGGAGGGAGCACATTCCAGGAAGGTGGGGGTGGCGGGTGTTGAGACAGGAGACAGCACAGTCCAGAGCAGGAGCATGGAAAGAGGAAGAGATTTAGGATAGCCACTCCCTAGAATCTCCCAGGGTATATCCACTAGGTTAGAGTAGTACAGATTTAATCTGGCAAGATTCTGTCTATATGGTGTAAGCAATAAAGGAATTGAACTTGAAGAGCAGGAGCATGGAAAGAGGAAGAGATTTAGGATAGCCACTCCCTAGAATCTCCCAGGGTATATCCACTAGGTTAGAGTAGTACAGATTTAATCTGGCAAGATTCTGTCTATATGGTGTAAGCAATAAAGGAATTGAACTTGAATGGACTGTTTCCCTATTGTTCTTGGACTGGGCCTGACATTTGATAAGTTCTTATTAATTTTTTTAAACAAGTCATGATTAGATGTGGATTCTCTACATACTTTCTTAGATGGATATCAATATATTATTCTTCACCTACTGCTAGAGTTATTACAAATCACATGATTTCTGAACAAGTGGAATTGCAACATGGTCCTTGACAAAATGGCCTTAGCAGGCGTACCCCTGATGGAGAGGAAGACAGTGAATTTTGAGTAAAAAGACATGCCAGTTTAGAACTAGATGTGAGATCTACTTCAAAGGAAAGCCCTGCAGGAAAGAAAGAGTCCTGAGATAGCAAAAACTATCTGCTCTATAGTTAATGGGTGGTAGAATTCCAAAACAATATGGAAGGTGACATGTTATGGTTTGCCTCACTGTATCTTAGGGTGTTCCAAGCAGCATGAGTCCACTGATTGGGACCATGAAAAGTCTGGTGCTGAGAGGTCCAATGATTTGCCCTAGAACAGCAAGCCAGCATTGCACTAGCTAAATTGGAAAAAGACACATTTGTAGAAGCAAAGTGGACATAAAATGACCAACTACAAATATGATGATCTTGAGAAAGCCCAAAAGAAGGTCATGGTTTTTACTATTCCAATGGTTAAGATAATAGTTTAAGGGGCATGTGCTATGAATTTCCCCTGGCTAGATCAACTACCATACTGCAAGAGGAGCCAGTAGAAACTGCTAGTATAAATAGAAGGGTCCGCAAGACTTGCAGTAGCAGAGTTGGAGGTGACCAATGTGGAGAGAAACTCAAAGCTGCTTGAGCCACAATTGGGAAGACATTTTTTTTTCTTTTTTCCTAGTTGGAATCAGGCAGTTGGGTCTTTTGAATCCTTAATGGGTGATTTTCCTCAGGGCTGACCATGGCACAAGCAAAGATCTGAATATCCTCTGCAAGAAATGGAGAGTTTGACTGATCTCTCAAAGAGAATGAGCAACTGCTAGAAACATGCTAGAAGACCTGGAGGAAGATGAGATGTCTACACATAGTTTAGCATTTTCTCCCAAAGAGTGGCTTGCAAAGAAGAAGAATTATAACAAACTTAGTAAACTGCTTAGTAAACACCTGGCAATGCTTACTAGTATTTAGTACCTGACATTCACCATGGCAAATAAAGGCATAGTTTATGCCAATGGGAAGGGTTAGCTTGCTCCTGCAATACTAGTGCTTGCAAAATGGAGCTTATTTGGGTGCCTGAACAGAAAGACCAGGTGTCTTTGCAAACAGTTTTAAGAAAATTAGTAACACAGATATACTTCTAGGGGCTGGCATGGCAGTTTGATTGTCTTTGGATCACAGAGACAGCTCCTCAGCTGTTTAGCGCCAAGCAGGATTGCTGGATGCCTCAAATTCCTCCAGATAAAGGAGGAAGCTAGAAATTGAGCTATTTGTTCTGCAGACAGCTGTTCCTCGTGAGTAAATTGCAAGAACTGAGGTTTTTGCAAGAAGCTCACGAGTGGAGTAGCTGGGAGGTGAGGATTACATCTCTGTTCAAGGATGAGGCACAGCCTGTTAAAAGACACTGAAACCAACTGACCTACATTTCTAATACACTTTTGAATTGCAAACTATTCTGGGCCTTAAGAGAGGCTTCTTTTTACAGCAGATAAGTATCCCTCTTGGTATTCTTCATGGGGGGGAGGGGGGCTTTAAAATTCAGAAAGATTTGTAGATTTAAATTTTGGGGGGATTCGCAAAAAGCTGATGATTAATGTGGCATAAGAAAGTTAACAGTAGGGAAAAGGGGAGATTTTAATTTTTTTTTTTTAAGTTTACTTTTTCAAGAATCGGCTTTGTTAAAATCATAGCTACTTGAACAGGGATCCATTTTTGCATTTGTTTAATGCACGCAAACAGGCAATTGGCTGGAATTATATATCAGAGGAACAACAATCAGTCTGAGTTTATCTTTAATGGAGACACCTGCTGGCAATTGCCTGTTTTCCTGCTTTCCCTTTCTCTTCTTTTTCCCTTTTTTTTAGTGGATTTTTAGCTACAGTAGAGACATCTTCTGGCAATTGTTTAGAATTACAGTTTTAAAGTTTTAAAGGATTATTGGGTATTTTGGGGAGGGGTGTTTCCTCCTTGTTCTTTTTTCTCTTTCCAGTACTACATCTTTCTATCTATCTATCTATCTATCTATCTATCTATCTATCTATCTATCTATCTATCTATCTAGATTTTCATAATGGCAACATGCAGAATCCATTTGGATGCTAGAAGAACTTCTGTGGAGTAACCAGTGGAAAAAGAAGATAAAG